GTGCAGATAACGCCTGGCGTATATTACCTGTTATTAACGTTCCTCTGAACAACTTTTCATTAACTCTGTTGGTTTTCGTTAATGACATACATGCTGGTTGCACCTGGGTTTAAATCAGTGATCAATATAGAACCTAACTCATGGGATTACTAAAGGCTATATATAGCTGACCTGGCAAGTTTACACAGGTAGGTGGTTTTCCCAGCCAGCTGGTCACGCAAGGCAAGCGTCCAGCGGCCACCTGACAACGCCATTCTTCATGACTGTGACCCACATGTTCTAGTGGTGACAATACGTTTAGTTTCAGTATTTGTGTCTCTCCATGGTGACCGACGCCTCTGTAACCACACGACTAGAATATTGATGACACAGCCAATTTGTAGGTTTTACGATGTCGGGTAGAAATATTACGGCTTTATATTAAGCACTTGTACAGTGATCCAGTCTTTACCAGGCAAACAAGTGGTTGATGGTCGGAAGATTCACTGTTTACTATCCAATTACATTTCATACTCTCCTGTGTAAAGACCCGGGTTATAATTGGTCTTCAGCACCCCTCGCACGTCGCACCCCCGAGGCGACTAACGGGATCGGGTGGTTAGGCTCGCTGACGTGTTTGATGCAGGTCTTCGTATCCCAATTGCGTTAATTGATACTCATGATGTCAAGCACTGGATTGTTTGGCCAGACTCGATTATTTATAGACCGCTGTCATATAGCTGGAATATTGCTGAGACCGACAAACAAACAAACAAACAAACAAACAAACAAACAAACAAACAAACAAATAAATAAAAATTAATAAATAAATAAATAAATAAATAAATAAATAAATAAATACAAACAAACAAACAAATACTTAGGAGCCATTGTGACCAGCTAACCATGATATTGCACGATATTTCCCTCGTACCCCAAATTTGTAGTAAGAACAACTAACGAGCATCGTTTGGTTACAATGTGCAAGCTAGGAAGTACAGTTAAACTACGGTTATAACGAACTCAAGGGGACCACTAATCTTAGTTTGTTATAAGCGTAGTTCGTTATAAGCATACATACAGAATAAACACAACAAATGGCCGGGACTAAAATTAGTGTAACATACCAAAACACACTTATAATCTCTGTATCCAGACTTAAGCGAGGGATAAACCCTTACAAGTGCTTAATAGCCATAACGAATTATTTCAAGCTCCATGCCTGTTGCATTTCAAAGACATATTTTGACATTCAAAAGGGCTTAATTCGAATTTAATGTGGTGGACGTATTGTCGCAATATAGCCTTTGTACAGCAGGTATTACATGGTGTCCCAATGTGATGCAATCTTATAGGCTGATCTCATTAACAAGCTTCTTATCAGTTTGCTTTTACGACTCAAGCAACAGCAATGAACGAAAGTATATTTGGCCGATCGATGAACCGGAGATAGCAGGGTTGTTTGAAGCCAGTAAGGCCTTGTTTTGATGATGGTCGCAGAACGTGAATCCATTCATCATGATGAAGAATAAGGAAAACGATTTTGAAAAATTCATGCATGTTGACTTAGTTTGACAAACATTTTCATGAAAACATTTATCGACCTGGGTAAAATGTCATATAATTGTCGACGAAAAATGACAGAATATTCAGATTCTGTGATACATTTTTCGGTTGCTCACTAAAAGACCCGTTTCAAAGCACTGTATTGCAAGCAAGTTTAGTTCGTTATAACCGTAGTTCGTTATACGCATATATACAGCATAACGACAGCAAATAGTCGGGACAAAAAAGTAGGTTCGTTATATCCTTCAGTTCGTTATAAGCGTGTTCGTTATAAACGTAGTTTACTGTATATAGTATAACCTTTTGTTTTGTAACGGACTGTGGTCCTGTGCTGAGCTATCGCTCACTAATCAGGTAAATATGAGCAAGTTCACCCAGCATGACTTTTAAATAAAAACATTTTTACCTCATCGTGACCCAGATTTATTTACCCCAGCCAAACTCCGATTTGGCCCAAAAGTTAATAAAGACATGTTTAATAGGCCACAGTACGAATTTTCTTCACGTTGGCTCGATCACACAACAAACAACGTTATTACAGACGAAACACTAACAGCAGCTACCGTTATATTAATCCTAAACACTGATATGCTTATCACGGACAAGGAAAATTCAAGCTGAATACATTACGACAATCTGGTCGCCATAGCGGTCGCGATTCGGATACGGTAACTACCCACGCAGGTGTGACCTTCACATTCCTATGAGTTGAGCGGCGTTTGAGTGGAACAATAACGATCACCAGCGTGTATGAGCTGAACTGGGTCGATCTATTTCCATTGTAATCCCATGCATTAGTTAGTTAAAGGTACAGGTAGTGTTAACGTAGCGTGTCAAACACACGGTGGCTTCACGCTGATAGTCAATACTTGACTTGCAGTGAATGTCGACGTATATTCAAAGGTTGCGTTTATTGCCTGTCGCCATGGCAACGCAACACAATACACAAAAGCATACTGCACTTGAAAACCTATATGTTTATGCTACTAAATCATGAATTATTTTTGATTGTTTGTTGTTTAACGCATCATCTGAAATAATATATGACGCCTGTGGATAATCGAGTCTGAAGCAGAAAATCAAGTGATTGGTATTATAAGGGTAACTTCTCCTCTTGCCTCCTCTATTGTGTTATCAATAAAGCTGTAGGTTCGGGTAAGGATAATATATATGGATGAGCAACTTCTTTATTGTTATTTAGTACTCCATCTTCTAAATGCCTCTGGGGCGGTCGGGTAGCCTAGTGGATAAAGCGTTCGCTCGTCACGCCGAAGACGAGGGTTCGATTTCCGATATGGGTACAATGTGTGAAGCCCATTTCTGGTGTCCCCCGCATTGATATTGCTGGAATATTGCTAAAGGCGGCGTACAACCATACTCACTCACTCACTCACTCTAAATGCCTCTTAAAGAAGTTATTCATGGCTCAAGAGCAAAACCTTCATCCCAGTAGCTTGATGAACTTATCCTGCAATGCAATCGTTAACAAATAAGAAATAGTTTTATACTTGTAGCTTATTGTATATATATTTACCTAATACACTAATGAAAATAAATACTCTCACACTCCTGACATTGTAAAATCCTTATACTTACATTTGATCAGAATGACAAGATTTGACTCTAACAGGCATGGCCTCAGGAATCTTATCTTTGTGATTTTATGGCTGATGACCATGGGAGACTTGTTACTAACAAATGCATCGACAGTAGTCAGTTTGCCGGGACTTCCAGTGGATGCATGTAAGCCGTCTGTTGTTCAGTCTATAGCTGAAGCTATCGGGTAAGACGAACTCGACACGCTGTGGGTTGGCCATCTTTAGACTACACAACTACAGTTACTCCTTTACATTTCCATATTTTGTATATTCTGTTACGGGTGTTGTGTAGTTGGTCTAGTTAGGTCAGTTAATCTTAATGTCTCTCATTTGAAAATGTGTTGTTTGTTTCAATCTTGTACATAACTGATTTGTTCCCTGGATGAAATAAAGATAACAATTAATTGTTTGATGGGCATTACTTAGAAGCTGACGGATGACGAAGTAGACACAAGCTATGGATAACAACTTCCTTATTTACTGTAAATGCGACGTTGAGGTATAGATCCTTACGCCGAAACGTCGCCTTTACAGTAAATAAAGAAGTTATTTTCCATAAATTGTGGCTACTTTGTACAGATAACAATAGTTTGCATATGAACACACCTATTTCTTTGTCAAAGCTCTAACGTAGCAAAACACAAAATATTCTAAATATTTTAATCTCTTACTGAGTTGGAAGTTCATCTGATTCTTGTTCAATCTTTTCCACAACTGGCATGCTCATTGGCTGATCCTTGGATTTAGATGAAAATAGCTTGAATATGAACACAGCTAGTTTTTCATTCTACAAAGGATTAATAACTTCTGAAAACGCCCTTTCATCTATTGAGTGTTTCGAGGAAATATATAAACATAGTTCAAAGCAACTCACAGGTTTGTCAATAGAGAGCAAAGTAATAATAACATAAAAATACTTTGGACCAGTTAACAATTAATGCGAGTGTGCATTTTTAATAGTGTAGGCACAGTACACGAAAAACAGCTTTACTTAGGCGATCGGCACTGTAGGCGATTAGAGAAGGAACCATTATTAGCAACGATCCATGCGGTCGGGGTAAGATGACACCCAGTTAAACAGCATAGATTGTTGGAGATCAATTCCAACAACCCACGAGGGAAAAACACCCAATACACAATCCCTAAAATATTGATAAGAAAATGTAACGCTAACATAAAGTAATTTTTTTGGCGTATTAAATAAACATGCATCTCCCACAATTGTTTTTGTTAGGGCTACAACAGACTGACCTCTGACCGGTGTTTCATCCTAACATTCATATTGAGTTTGAGCTGTTTGCACAAACCTAGTGATTACTTAATGTTTATTTGTGTGTGTGTGTGTGTGTCAGTGTGTGTGTGTGTGTGTGTGTGTGTGTGTGTGTGTGTGTGTGTGTGTGACAATGCAACACACAACCATTTCACCGTCTCGTATGCAATGCGATTACGAAGTAACAAATAGCATCTCTGCAATGAGGCCAGGTTTGTTAAAAACTTGGTCCACAAATAAGCCAATTCCATCAACTTTGAAAAGCAGTGTAAAATATATGTATGAAAAATAAGTAAAATGTTAATAAAAATCTCATTTACTGTCGCTATCGATATAAATAAATTATTTAAAGTACTGTAATTAACACCTGTTGAAAATTTATCTTAAAGACTTCAAAATACAATACATTGTGTCGAACGCGAGAGGTAATAAATAATATTAATTGAAATTGGAAAATTTTATTTTTTCGACCTACTGACCCTGAATGTTTGGTACAGCGCTTATAGAACAAGAGACAAATTTGGGATGGTTCTGGGATTCGACACCAGAACAGAATGAAGGCAATGAATAAACAACAAACAAAGACACCTGTTTCAATATGTTGTATTTAGAGTTTTTCAATTTTTGTCAGCTTCCATCTTTCGACACCATTTCCGCCAGGAAAGACATATCGCATATTGTCTGGTACATCCCAGTATGTCAATACACTTGTAAACACAAGACATTCTTGTATACTCTGGTGGGGGCACGGGTGGCCCAGTCGTCTAAGGCGCCGCGATTCGCTGTGCAGAGTTGCGGCCCTTGGGCACGCCAGAAACCTATGATTGTGGGTTCGAAACCCGATTCGCCCCGATTATGTTTCTAGGTTTGTCAGCACCATACCCGTGCTCGTGGGTTTCACCGAAGTGGTAAACGTCGGAGACCTGCATCACTTCGGGCTTTCCTCCCACATTAAGCTGACACGCCGCGATGTAACTGGAATACTGTTAAAAGCGGCGTTAAACCCAACTCACTCACTCACTGTATACTCTGGTGCTACATTTTCCATACATAATCAATATGATAACAAATACTTATTTGAGCAGTTTTGTAAGTAACACGATACTGATGTCAGCACATAATATAAATATTATGCCCAAATAATCAATCAGGTTTTCATGTCCACACTAAGGACATGTAAATAACGTTATACATACATACCGATGAACTGATAAAATATAATTTCAAAACATAACGATATCATCAATATGTGTATATTTGCTCATACCAAATATATGTTTACATTTGGTATAACGAAAACAATAGAAAGATAAATCTCTAAGGAATACTTCAGTGAGTTATTTTCTATGCTACGTTTAATTAACAATAATGCCTGTACCAGTTGCACACTAGCGATTGTCAACAGCAGTATGCGTATATTTGGGATATACATGTACACACGTAAGGAAACCGACCATTTGATATTCGTGGGTGTGTTGGTGGGTGGGGCAGGTGTCGTGGGGGTGGATGATGTGGATCGTTGGCATTTCATATGGAGACTAGATATATTTTCAGCTACACATGCAAAACCAGAAACTTTTTTAAGAATAACCCTACATTACAAACACCTTGCAACAATGTAATTTTTTGTCAAGTTGTAACAGTCTGAAGCATGATTAATTTTGTCTAGCATCTTCTGAGATACTTTTTCGATGAATCTTCCCCCACTTTCCCATCCCCCACCCACCCGAATATCAAATGGTCGATCCCTAACTATTCAAGATATCGTATATAACATTAATATCACATTGCATTGCACTAAACCTACTTGAAGTGCTACCAAACCAAACAAACCCCAACAGTCCTTACTGGATATTTCTATAAAATATTCCGGGGTCAGTTGCGAGGGTAATGGAATCCCTTTTAAAGTATACGGCTGATAGAAGAAAACAAATTAACCACAAACAGTTTTGCATGTGTTAAATTGAAAATTCCGGGTTTGTCTGTAACATTAAATTGAGCTTAGATTGCGACACATATTACTTCTGAACAGACAAAGATACCCATTATCAAATATTTAACAAACTAAATGGCTATCATAAAGTGAAAAGAAATTTTAAACGGATAATTTTTCGATGAATGGCTCTAGTCCAGGAATGTAGAAAAGGACATTATTACCTTGAAGTCTGACCGGGTTTTGGCACAGCAGCAACTAAGTGAGTCGTTGTTAGTCTGTACACCTTAGCTGCTACAGCTTATCACATATTGACAATATTATCCAGTACCGCAGAGTTCTTGGTAATGAGTAGTGAAATATCATTCTTAAATACTCCACAATACCACGTCTTCATGCCATCCTCGATTATCCAGGGTGTCATATCTCCATGCTATTGTGATATATACCCTTGGCCCTTGGAAAGTGTCTCGCTTGTGAGAGTAATTTCTAAGTGCAGCTGTGTTTTAGCATCGTACCATTTAAATCGGTCTAAAAAGGAAACAATGGAAGCGAATTGGTCCACGGTATATATCCTAATAGGACGGATATGCGCATTGGATGATAGGGAATGCGGTCCCGCTTACGTCATCACAGCGCACCAAGTTTGAGGAATTTCGAGTATCCTGACTCGCACTTGTTGACCTTCTCAATGAAATAGTTCTCGTTCTCGATGCTCTCCAAGAGATTTGCTTGAACTAAACATACATCTTCAAACCTTTCCAGTTCTTTTCTTGTCAAACTGCGAGCTTTCGTCTTGTCATCCGTATCAAACATCCGGGCATCTACAATGCTGTCTTCTTCGTAGGCACGGAAATTGTCGTCAAAAATGATATGGTGCACGTGAGTGTCACTCGGATCTATCCAAAGAGGTTTTGCCACAGAATGATGATAATTGTTATTCTGCCAGATTTGAAAATCATCTTTGTACCCTGTAATGCCACTAGAGTTGGACAAATGACGGTATATATCCCTCTCGTGTTGAAGTTTCTCTGCAACGTCCCCGACACCTGTTTGCCAAGTCTCCAGAGTGATCTCCCCTGATTCCGTTCGCCGGATGCACCCAGGGAAAGTGCTAACGGGCAGGTGCGCGTCTTTGGGAAAGCCAGGGTGATTGCCTTTTAGTCCGAATGATAAACTTGATAAAACATTTTTACAATCCAAACCGTAAGTCCTAATAACAATGGCAAAATCTCTCCTGTCCTCTTTCAACTGATGTATGAGCTTGTATACCGATGGCAGAATGTAATGATAGGGCTTACCGTCAACTCCCTTCATCGTTAAACGCCGATCACAGGTTTCGTCTTTTGAGTAATTCCATTTTAGCAATTCCAAATGTTTCTTGAAATGCGGAAGGAACTTATACCCGATATCCGTATCCGTAAAATCTCCAGTTTGGAATCTTAGCCGTTCTCGGTCACTTGGGCATTTCACAGTGAGTTTCTCCAGATGCCTATAGTACGTTATGACGCCATCTTGCGGTGGTACCAACGAGGGCTCGTCACACTGCCACCTCCAGGAACCATCCTCTTGCTCATTGCCCCACACAACACCGGACAGGAAGCTGTTGAGAGCTTGCTCCATGTGGACCTTGGTCACGGAGTCTGCGACAAGAACAGTGTTCCGCACATCAAAATGAAGAACCAGTTTCCGTTTTCGTCCATTTTCCAGGTGCCTCGGTCGAACTTGAACCGGTGTCGTGACGTTGTGGTTATAATCCTCATTCAGGTACCCGTTGTGCGTGTCATCCCGGCCATTGCTCATAGTTACGCTGTGCTGAGCTTCTCCTGCTGTAGCGTTATTCTTCATATGACCAAGGCGTGTTTACCAACATCTATATAGACACCACAAGCTCCGAATGCTGCATGTAATGTGGAATATTCCTGAGAGTCCTCCCACCAGTGTGGAAAACAACAGTAACACAAGCGCTAAACCTTGCAAGCACGCCGGGTACTAAACATGCTGAGACATAATATGCATGATCGATTGTACGTCCTAACATACAGATAAATACGTATGCGCTATCTGATTGGCTTGGCCTGCTGACTACCCTAGTCGGGTATTTCCACAATAAGCTCACGATCTAAGCGAGGCTCGAATATGGTGAAATCCGGACGTATAAAAATCCCAGAAGTCGACTCAGATAAAATTGTTCATGTGTGGCGTCTGTGTGATTAGTCAGCATTACACCACAGAAGGGAAATCTTTTTCCTGGCCGCCATGATGTTTACCTTGTTGCCAGGGACGACCTATCGGCGGACGATCGATATACCATGTACACTAACACCATGTCCCCGCTCATTCGAAGGGAACAATGCACGTTAAGGGCTAGCGTAAATATTATAGTACAGTGTTTATGTATTATTCAACAAATCTTCCACGGCTGTTTATTAAAACGTGTGTACGTGAAGAAACAAGTCAAATTAACTCCATTACACTGTTAAACATGTGTTTTGATCCTCAACACATTCCTTGTCTCATAATCTTGACATGTTTACTTTTGTAGTCATACTGCAACAACACATTTATGGACACACCAATTTTTGAAACCTCGGTGGGATGGGAACCTTCATCCTCCTGATTTGTAGTCCATCACCCTGCCACCTGTGCTGCGGATGCTGTTGACACCCGTGAAGGTCCGGGTGTCTTCAGCAACCCATGCTTGCCGTAACAGGCGACTGTGGTTGTAGTAAGATACGACTAACGGGAACGAGTGGTCAGGCTCGCTGACTAGCCCGATTGCTAGGATCGATGCTCATGATGTCAATCACTGGATTGTCTAGTCCAGACTAGATTATTTATAGAACATCGTCATATAGCTGGAATATTGATGAGACCGACGTTAAACGATAAATAAACAAATTGTTCATACTTAGAAGCCGGCGCAAACAAACAAACGGGGCCTGTCGTCGATGGTCAGGTTTTTCTAGTCACCATTAACTTGGCTTTGTTTATTTTTTTACATTTTTATGTTAATATTGTCCTTGTGGTATTTGTGTTATGCAAGTGCCTGTGAAAATGATTTGCACAATCATATTATTTCAACGTATATTATACATCTTATCCATATTTGAAGTAATGCCAAATGATATCCACTTATTAAAAAGTGTTTAAATTCTCAAAATGTTTAAACCTGTTTAAATTCTAAACATGTTTAGATTTTAGCCATGTGTTTAGGTGGTGTTTAGGCTGTGAGAAGATTGCTCATTTCTTAAAGTATAAACACCAAATGTGTATTCCGTTTAGGATTTAAACACATTCCTAAGCATGTCTAGATCTAAACGCTATGACCTTGAAGGTAATAGAAAATGAATTACTCAACAGATTTAGTAGATAACAGGACCAACATACAAGTGACAGTTTGTATGTTCATCTGAGTCTGTATTTAACATATGATAATCAAGATACAAACCCGTCGCAGGTACCGAAACACGCTGTTCACGCTCCCATAACCATGATAACAGGGACTCTGTTCACCGAAGGTAGTTGTATAAAATGTTTCTGTAAGTATTTTCAAAAGAAGCTTTTAAAGCTTTATAAAGCAGGTTAAATGTCACGTAATACAAACCGTGAAAAAAACCAAGAAAAATGAATCGTCTTTCAAAACATGCCCCTCTTCGTGGTGTTTTATGATTTTTCGTCTCAAATGACAGCACATTTTTCTCATGTAGCTGACAGTGTTATAATTTCCTCATTTTTTAAGTTGCCATCAAATACGAAATTCAAAGGAAAATGTGAATAAGATTGATAGTATTAATAGAATAAGTTTGGTTCTTACGTATAACTTTTTCCTTTCCACTACATATTTTTTGTTCACATGACATATTTTGTTCAGCCCTCCTCTTCCCACGAAAATATTTTCTGCTGCGAATATAAATTTATGTAATTCGCTTAAAAAAAGTTTCTTTTCCTTTTGTGAGCGGGAGACCCAGTTATTCGGTGTGACAAGGGGACGCTTTAATCCAGGTGGTCTATATCTTTGTATAGTCTCCGTGCTTTAAGCACTAGATACCCTGGATCCCTCGAGACACGGTCGGAATGGCCAGCAGTCCAAACGAAACCATACAGAATGAATTGAGCTAATGAACAAGCTCCCATGGAAATATCTGGATTAGGAGAATTGAGCTTATTTCTGTGTCCATGCCCATTTGCCAACAAAAAAAACTTTGAAATGCATTCCAAACAAGTCTAGCAGATATTTGTCCTCGGAGAACTATCATGAGAATTATTATATTTTCAGAAAATCTTGTTTGTGTTTTTCACTTCCGAAATATCAACCCTCAGTAATTATTTAAAAATATATCTGCCTCTTTGTTGAAACATTAGACTCTGTGGTTAATCAATGCATTTAGCAGTGACAGAAAATCGAATTGACAGACGCGGACAGGTGAGAGTGAGTGAGTGAGTGAGTGTGTGTGTGTGTATTGTTTTACGCCGCTTTTAGCAATATTCAAGCAATATCACGGCGGGGGCCACCAGAAATGGGCTTCACACATTGTACCCATGTCGGTAATCGAACCTGGGTCTTCGGCGTGACGAGCGAACGCTTTAACCACTAGGCTACACGACCGTCCCCCAGACAGGTGAGGGTATGATGAATATGTTTGATGAAGACGTTGATAACAAATTCGTTCATAAATTCACCTGACTTGAAAGGCCAGATGAACTGCCACGGAAATAACAATTAGCTGATTTGTCGTACGTGTGTTATGCACCATATATATGATATGATACAGTGCAAAGTCACGGGTTGAATACGCATTGTCCATCTCATTGAAGCGAGCGATAGACGATGATTTTGACGGATTCAGTCGTACAGCCCGGAACCGTCGTTCGGAATGTCTCGTGTTAACGCCTTCGAGGTTGCATGATTCGAAAACACATACCGCGGTCGGTGTCACAGAACTACGGCTTATAGGACACAAGTGAATGATTGTTATTTTAAGCATCAGTCAGCAGTATTCTAGTACTACTAGTAGATGTATATCAATGGGCCAGAAAATAAGAGTGAGTGAGTGAGTGAGTTGGGTTTAACGCCGCTTTTAACAGTATTCCAGTCATATCACGGCGTTCCAGCTTAATGTGTGAGGAAAGCCCGAAGTGATGCCGGTCTCAGACGTTTACCACTTCGGTGAAACCCACGAGCAGGGGTATGGTGCTGACAAACCTAGAAACATAATCGGGGCGAACCGGGATTCGAACCCACAATCATAGGTTTCCTGCGTGCCCAAGGGACGCAACTCTGCACAGCGAATCGCGGCGCCTTAGACGACTGGGCCACCCGTGCCCCCCAGAAAATAAGAGACCCAGCAGACCAGTGTTAGTGTCCAACACCACGTTGTTACAAGCTGCAAACGCACGTCTAATAAAGTATTGTTTTATCAGGGACACACCATATAAAATTCAGGGGGAATAACGCCGCTTTGAACAGTATTCCAGTTCTATCACGGCGTGTCAGCTCAATGTGGGAGGAGAGCGCCGAAATGATGCAGGTCTCTGACGACCATCATATGTTTCTGGCGTGCCCAAAGGATGCAACTAAGGATATCAACTTCTTTATTTGTTTGTAAAGAGGATTCAGGACTACTTTTTGCTCCATTGTCAGGTGAGTGAGTATGGTTTTACGCCGCTTGTCTCAATATTCGATGGCGGGCGAGACCCGCAATGGGCTTCACACATTGTACCCATGTTGGGAAGCAAACCCGGGTCCCCCCCCCCCCCCCCCCCAGAAATTGGCTGTGAAAGTCTATATGAAAAAACTTACAATTGATAGCTGGGTGGTAAAACAATTTGTACAAAGACTAAGTGGGTAAAATGGGTGTATCTTATTTTTACAACATCGCACATTGTCATTTTTCTGATAAAATAAAACAAAAAACGTTTAAAAACATAACATGAAGTTGTGTCTGTGCTGATAAATAATCTCAAGTTTGGATAAATCATATAGACGCACACGATGGGAAACTGCCTTGGCCCACAAGGCCAAGATACGTGTGTTTATCAACACATTAAAAAATCATATATCTGTCCACAAATCCATTCGCAATTGTGATCATGACACAGGGAAAAAAGAATTGTTCAGACTTACCTCCAAGTATTTGGAAAACTAAGGAAGATACCCCCGCCTTATGAATCAAGCTGTAAACATTCGGACAAAGCTTAGTAAGTGTAGCGCAATAGGACTTACAGCTTGTGGCAACAGTCTTGTCAGAACACTTGAATAATGACCAGGAGCAGGAGACTAAGTAAGTGGATGAGTGAGTATAAATGAGTTGAGTTAACGTCGGTCTGTACAGTTTTTCAGTTGTATCACTGCGTTTCATCGGTGATACCCCTATTGTCAGACACCCTATTTCTCAGATACCCCATTTGTCAGACAGTTTAGTAGGGATGGCTTATATTTATGTGCTGAAATGTCTGAAGTAAATAAAATGATAAAATGCAGTTTAAATTGATCTCTTTCGTCTTATTTGTATAGTACAGTATCTGACAACTGGGGAATGAGTGGGACTAGCCCATTTTTCGTATGGGTAACATCTGTTTGTAATAAGGGTATTCAACCACGACATGTGTGAGTTTAAACTGTCTGACAACTGGGATATCCGACAAATGGGAGAACACCGATTCAGCTTGATGTGGGAGGAAAGTCCGAAGTGATGCAAATTCTGGCGAACCCTCCAGTCTGGGTATTGTTCTGATAAACCTGGAGTCATAATCATGGAGACCCGGGATTCGAACCCACGATCATAGGTTTCTGTCACGTTACAACAGTGCACAGCGACTTGCCATGCCCTAGCCACGTGACCCAAACAAGGGAATCGAAATCTAGCAAGCTCTCTTAACTTGTATTGTATTAAAAACTTTTTAAAGTTTTCACCAAAGTGATGCCTTGAACAGGGTCAGCTTAATTATAAGGGTGGAATCAGCTTCGTAATATATACTTTTCAACTGTTTTATACCCCTAACAATAAATAGAAGTTAATGAATGTTTAAATTAAAAGTATTATTTAATCATATCTAACGTCATGCCCTCCGCCTGTAATATGGTGTATTGTAATTTTATATGGTATATTGATGGAAACTCACATCAACGCATTAGCACAATCTGCAATATTCCTGTACGTCAGTTTATTGATCAGTTGAATCGGAAATGATATGATATATTGAATATCCACACTTATTACCATTTTTAGTGTGTTAGTGAAACAGCGTGCGGAATCCGATAATCACGGGTCGGGTCGGTTCGGGTCGGGTCGG